CACCCTTTGGTCATAGAATTGAAGGAATTTTTTGAGGGAGTATCAGTGTGTTGTCCTGCTGAATATGTTACTCTGACGCTAGCACTAGTTGGTGTCTTTTGTGACTTGCCAGCTTCACGTAAAGTTTGTGGGTTCACTTCATTCAATGCTTTACATGGGTGCAACAAATGTCTTAAAAGTTTTTCTACTTCAAGTTTTGGTGAAAAACCTGATTACTCTGGTTACGACAGTGATAACTGGCCTTAACGAGATGCAAAAATTCACAAACAAAAGTGTATTGAACATTTAAATAGTAGCACAAAATCTCGACAGAAATTAATAGCGAAGGATTATGGTCTCAAATATTCTGCTCTAATTGAATTACTCTATTTTCATCCTGTAAAACACACGCCCATAGACCCAATGCACAACCTGTTTTTTGGAACAGCAAAACATTGTATGGAGCTATGGACACATAATGACGTATTGACAAAAGCTGACAGAAGTTATTGAGCATAGAATGTCATGCATGCAAGCCCCACATAGTATAGGTAGATTGCCCTTAAAAATTGAAAGTGGATTTTCGGGGTTTTCTGCAGATCAGTGGCGTAACTGGACAATGTCCTACTGCAAGCGAAATATTAAAGTTGGCAAGACCTATGTATCATCATACATGTCAATGCTACCATCAATGCTGTGCGCATTACATATACGTAAATGCTTGCCAGCTGATGTTGCGCATAATGCTGCCATCAATGCTGTACGCATTATTAAGTTAATGCCTGCCGGCTGATGTTGCGCATTTGAATGATGCTGCCATCAATGCTGTGCGCATATTAAATTCTTGCCAGCTGATGTTGCGCATCTTTTGTTGATGATTGTTGTAAATATGTGCATGTTCACATTAACAAAAAAATATTGTTGTAAGAACATGTGTACTATAATGGAGTTAGAAGGAATACAAAAGTTCCATGTGATTGGTAATAAAGTTTGTTCACCATTACTGTTTGTACTATTGTTATTATTAGCCCATGTGTTTACATTGCTTGCATTTGATGTGTTTATGTTACTATGCTTTACAGGTAATGACAGCTGGAAAGGATTTGATGATTCAGCAATATTTTCATTGCTTGATATTGTAATGTGCAATAATAATTAAAGGCAGTTCTGGATTTCAATTGTTGTAACTAAATTTATTTCATTATTAAATGGAACTTAATGTTTTATTGTAGGTCCTTGATGAGTACTTTTATCACACTGCAGGAGGTGCCTGCATAGGTTTTACATTACTGTAGTCTAAGGAATGGAATATGTAGTAAGATTAAATAGGAATATGTAGTAAGATTAAATATTGTGAAATTCCAAAGTATCTTATGTATTTTGTAATAGGGTATGATTCAAGGTTACATCTATATTCATTTGATGGGTATGTCATTATAAGCATGGCCACAGTAAGTACTCTCACTATAAGTTATTGTTTGCCAGCGTATCTTTCGTTGATGATTGTTAGTTTATTTTAATAATATTATGTGCATGCATGTTCTCATTAACAAACAACAATTGTTTGCACATTGGAAAGTATTCATGTGTTCTATATTTATATGAATTTGCTCAATGCAAGTCTCATAAAAAATCTTAATTCAGTATAGAATTAGTAAGCAAATTAAAAGATGTTTGTCTTTATTTTTTTGTAGATTATGAATGACAACACTGTGCATGTTCATGTACGTAATCAATATGTCCACGTTAATGGCTACTTAGGTATTATTTATTTCTTAAATCATGCATTATGATCATAATGTGTATTTTTCTTCTAGGAATATTAATAGAAACTAAAGCATTGGAGCATTTTTGTCTTGTCAAACACTGCATTGCTAATGTATTTTAATCTTGGCTAAACGCTGGTGCATTTTTTATTGACATTTTGATTATCTTATTATTATGTCTACATCTATTATTATAATAAAGCTATGATACATGTAGTTAATAAAAGTTATAATTTTTTGTTCCAACTTGGGGTCTTGGCCTCCTTCCCCTACCCCTGCCCCTGCCAGGTCTTCTTGGTAGATTTAGATACTATTATGGAATATAATTTAGTACATCATAGTAAAGACTTACAATTTGTCTATTGACAGCCCTCAATTGGGCAATAATGAGCTGCCTTTGCTGGTGCAGCAAAGGCAGTGCTGGGGCAGGAGGGACTGCTGGAGCCCCTGCAGGAGGGACTACAGGTGCACCTGCAGGAGGGACTGCTGGAGCCCCTCCAGGAGGGACAACGGGTGCACCTCCAAGAGGGACTCCCAGAGCCGCTCCAGGAGGGACTACGGGTGCACCTCCAAGAGGGACTGGCGGAGCCCCTCCAGGTGGGATTGCTGGAGCCCCTCCAGGAGGGATTGCCAGAGCTCCTGCAGGAGGGATTGCTGGAGCCCCTCCAGGAGGGATTGCTGGATCTCCTCCGGGAGGCAGAATGGGATCTTCCTCTCTCCTATCCGGATCTGGGCTTGGTGACCTACTCATACTATGAAAAAGATACATACAAGTATATATAGTGTATAAGCTCAGAGGTTGGATAAACTGACTTTTTGCTTGCAAAGTACGAATAACAAATATTGAAAAGTAGTCTGATGCCTGATTGCAAATTGACTGAGGTCTAAACTTTAAAGTAAGGAGTAAGGACTGTACTGCTCAGTGACAAACTTGACGAAGTGCAGTTGAGCGGGAAATCAGGCATGGTTATTAAAGATTATTAACCAAAACAGGATATTACATCACATAAATAATTAGTTATTAGCTATGAATTTCATTATTATTTCAAATTTTCAAGTTTCTAGATGTGGTATGTTAATTTTGTGTATGCACAAGTAGCCAAAAATTAATATCTTGCAGAAGTTTTATTAAATATTCTGTAATGGATTTTTAAACCTAGTTAATTAATATCAATAAACATAATACTGATATAAATATGACAATAATTAACAAATTGAATAAAAAGTATGGAAACAAGTAAATAAAAAAATTTCTATAAATAAGAAAAAGTTGGGTTGTCAAAAAATAAAAGAAACAAGGGGGTTGAGTTCAATCATAATAATAATTATTAATTCAATTAATAATAATAAAAGTTAATTAATAAAAAATAATTATTCTAACAAATAATACATAATATTCAACCCTACTTTGCCGCATTTAATGAAGGATTACTGATTCCTTTAACATGACAAAGTTTAATGAAAGAATGACAACCCAACTGCTTAGTTCCAGCCTACGCAAGTGTGCGAGTTGGCCCTACTGACAATTCCTTACAATGTAACATAATCAGATCAAAATTTTAAAAATGTATATATACTAAAGACATGCATCCATGCTTTTACTTTTAAAATCAAACTAACAAGTATACATTAATATTTTAATTTTATTAATTTTTATGGTAATGCATCACAAAAATTAAAGAATGCAATAGCAAACTAATCATCCGTAGTTTAGAATTTTTACTTGTGATGACAGTAATTTATTCAATCAATGCTAGGTAAAAATTCTGATTTTTATTTATCAGAATACTTAATTTACATCATACTCATAGCAATGTATTAAGGCAATCACTAAGTACAGAGGCATAAATAATTTAAATTCATTAATTTATATTGTAGTCTGAATATTAGCATATTCAGCAAAGTAGGGTTGAAATTTATGTATTATTTTTTAGAATAATTATTTTTTATTAATTAACTTTTATTATTATTAATTGCATTAATAATTGTTATTATGATTGAACTCAACCCCCTTGTTTTTTATTTTTTGACAACCCTACCTTTTCTTATTTATAGAATTTTTTTATTTATAATAAAATTAGTTGTTAATCTCAAAATTTTACGTTTAACACTCAGGTATTAGAGTATGCATAAAATACTGCACACAAGTGCAAACCATTGTTGAAGACTTGAACCCATTCCAACAATTGTAATTGTATGCATGCAAGTATATAATTACAATATCTTAATTGTGCAGTGTGACTCCTAATGTATGCAGTCATAGAGTTCAAAAGCAAAGCATACAAACACATATATATAGTGCTTGTATTTTTTAAGCACATGTATGCATGTAAGAAACTTTTTCAGTGTGACTCATTACAGCATATTTCAAAAACAAAAGCTCAAACCACTGTTCAGGCCACTCAAACAAATGTATGTATGTATTATAAGCTCATAAATGTAAAACATTTGTTCTGTGTGACCCTAAACAACATAGTAGTTCAAAAAAGCTCAAAAAGTTAGTGAATATGTAGGTCAATACTATAATAATTATTATATCAGGTAAATACAAATAGTTTCTGCAACCCTTTACTGCACTGCACATATACATGCATACATGCACATTTTAGTATCTGTGCATGTATACTAAGTATTTTTCCAGTTTGATGAATTGAAATATATATAGCACTACGACCTTTTTATCACTCATTATCACTCATGAAAATGCACACACTGCATGACAAATATAAGCTGTTAAACTTATTAATTATTTTTAATTTATGATTGTTCATGTATAACTAGTAATAAAATTTAGTAAATCAGTTGTTATTGGCCTTTTATGATCATTATATTCAACATTCTTTTGAAAAAGCTACTAAACATTCAACTTGGAGGACTATGGAACTTAAAATTCAGATAATACGTCCAAATAAGTAAACATCTGATGCTTTGCTTTGCTTAGATACACCATCACGCACATCAGGAGCTGTAATGGGTGGCAAACTTTATACTGATCAATTTCAGCTTTAGAAAGTTTTTATTTTAGCCCATCCTTTTCATAGCAAGATTTTCCAAATTCAATTAAAACAGAGTTACTTTCAGTAATTAAAATGTTGTCTTCTTTTATGTCATTGTGTAATATATTCTTGCTATGAATATGATCAAGCCCTCTAATAGCACTAATCAAAATTTTTTTCCAATCCCATGAAAGTGAAATGTTTGGCTTCTTTCTGGATAACAAAACTGAGTGAAGTGTGTATGACCTTTCCTCCATTCCATGAAATTTTAGAACTAGCATTTTATGCTTCGATTCAAGACACACTCCATGCAAAAAAGCCACATTTTCATGGCACAAGAGAGATAACATGTTTGCCTCGATAAAAGCTATTATTGTTTTTAGATGGTTTCAAAACTTTAACACATGCTTCCAGGGGCCCGACTGTTGTAAAAATGCACTTGCCAAACACACCAGAACCAAGGACCCTTTCTTTTTTGATCACTAATTCATTCCTAGAAAAGATCCTTATCCTTTCACATAATACCTCTGTAGTACTCCTAGTGGTAATATGTGAAGCCTTTATAGCAGATTGATTTGAATGTGAATTAAAGCAAAAGCTAGTCTTAATAGATGCAGGATTATTCACTTGTGACTGTAGCAATGATCTACACAAGGATTATCAATTTCTATGCATTTACAACTTACAATTACAAATCATGTGACAGTAAGATTTAAAGGGCATATGTGTGCTAAGTAAATTTATATAACTTACAAGTAGGGCCATAATG